AACTCCAGATATTTGATATCTTTCTCTTTGAATGAGATCTCAATTACAGTGATGGTTTCATTAGATATCTTACAACTAGAATCCCTCCCTACTTCCACCTGAGAGGAGGAATTGAGATCCCCTGTGCTGCTTATGTTGCAATCCAAAAGATCCGCGTCATTGAAATCAACTTCAGAATAAGAATCGGAATCGGGTTTTTTGGGGGGATTTGCTTCTTCATAAGCTTATCCCCCCAAAAAAACCATTCTATACTATAGCGCTTCGAGTTCTTTCTATTTCATCTCATTTTTTTCGGGATAGGCGGTGAATACTAATCTAATAAGTGAAGTAGTCGTCGTCTGACCAATTGGCTCGGACACCAAACCGCTCGTGCCCGCCCATTTTGTCTCGCCCTAAATGGAATGGCCTCTTAGTGCTTCAGGTTCACCTCTTTTCTTAGGATTGGATGCCCTGAGGTTCTTGTTTGGAGTCATTTGTTTATCACAGAACAAGTCCCCCTCAGTCACTGCCATACTTGACCTAGTATCAACCCTCTCTTCCAAATCCCCGCTTCTATGGGCCAAATCACTCTCCTCGCTCGTTAAACTTGCACCTTGACTACCAACCCAAAGAAAGACGACCTCTCTGAGATATACGGTTTATGCCGGAAAGGTATGAAGTTGGACTAATTTGGAAACATTGGGCAATTTACTTTATACATACTATTTTGTCATCTCCGCAATTAGGAATACCCGAGGGCTAAGAACCGATATTCTCTAATCCTCATAAAAGAAAAGAAGTAGAGTTTGTTCACAAGGTTGGGTCGTGATATATAGTTTGTGTGTCGGTAAAGAAAGCATTTGGCTTTAGAGCCCTATCACGTAAGGGAGAAGACAAAATGTGTGAAGCATACAGTGAACTTCTCTCCTCTCTTACTCGAGCCATCAGGCAATGCGGGTCAAGCTGTCCAACTCTTGTTTGTAGAACGATTGGCTTATCTCTAAACCTGTTCCGGATGTGCCTCCGCGCTGAAAGGGGCACTCATTCCCATTCACGGGTTTTTGAAAGTGAGCTAAGCAGCAAGAAAGAGAACTTTCCTACGCTGCGTAGCAGAAATGCTAGTCATGATAGGGTAGTTGACTCAACTAACTGTTAGTCTGACCTAGTCCCAATGGGGGACGAATAGTTCATTAGGCTTGGAAGAAAGAGTATTTTCAAGAGACCACTACGCTCCTAACAAGGACGAGATTTCTGCATTCAAAGGGGAAATTCACGGATTGATTCAAGAGCAAGTACGTCTGGAATCAGAAAAAGGAATGGGTCCCTTGTCCATTCTATTTCCACAACAAAGACAGATCTACTCCCAAACGGCCCACTATATTCTAATACGGGCCTTCTTTTCTTCGGCAATGGGATGGTGCACGTTCAACAAACTGCGGTATAGTTCAGTGAGAAAATGATCCTAAAAAACTTAACTCACTAATACGGGATTACCTCACCCCCCCCCCCCCCCCCCCCCCCCCCCCCCCCAAAAAAAGTATTCTATTAAGAGTGAGTAGCGCCACCGAACAAGAGGACCTAAAAGGGAAGGAAAGGTAAAGCTGGCGGAGACCCTAGTTGAGTAATTGACTGAGAATGTAAGTCATTGAGGTTCCTGGTATAGTTTAGTGAGAAGATCCATGACTATACCAGGAAGAAGACAGGCGGGGATGAGCCGAACGAGAGCAAGGCTAATCTCAGCTGGAGGGCTGTCGGTCTGGTCGTCCCCCATCTAAGACTAAGACATAGAAGGACGAAAAAGGGCTTTGAGAAAAAGCTCTTCCTTCTTCACTTCAGGAAGAGCGCCGACTGCAACAGCTAATTCAGCTAAATCAATGATACGTGGGAGCCTTCCTAAAAGAAAGAAAAGACTGACCTTGCTGCTTTCATTTCATAGCAGAAAAAACGCTTTTTTATTTGAGGGCAAGGGATGGTGCGCGTTCAACAAACTGCGGTGAAACTTTAGGTCCTTTGTTTTAGTTTACATGTGCTTGTGCGTGATCCAGGGACGGATAAAGAGATCAAAAGAAGAAGCTTGTATTTGATGCCTGCTCATATGTCACTTCCGTCCCCTAATCCCCTTCCCTTGTAGTTGGTTTGGTTGGAGCTAGGGGTGGAAACAGGTCAGGTCAGGCCAGACTTTGCCTTAAACAGGCTCAGCCTATATAGCACATAGAAGTCTGGGTCTGACCTGTTAGCCTGTTCAAAAAAAAATTCAAAGTCTAGGTCTGACCAGTTTAAAAGCCTGATTGGCCTGTTAGCCTGTTTAAAGGTCCTTTAAGGTAAAAAAATTAAAAAAAATTAAAAATTAAAAAACAATTATATACAAACTAGACAAATGTATTATAATTATATAAATTAGTGTGAATTTTTTAACATTTTTATCACAATTATTTCCATCATCTTCCAATGTTACCTAATGTATTCGAAGGATTTGTGGTGCTTTTGAGGTTAGAATATACAAAACAATGTCTTTTAATAT